AAAGAGGGGAGGGAGAGGGAAAAAGCAAAAGCAGCCAAAACTCTCCGACTTGTTCATTAGGGGTTTTGTGCTTGAACATCTGAATGAATCATGTGTCTGTCTTTCATTATTCTCCATATGCAATTGTTCCCTGCTTTGTTCAGTGATTTCCAGCCAGTTTGTCATGACTGTGCTTATTTTGGTTTATATATTGTTCTATTACAGGATGGTTGTTGCTTCTCCTCTGCCTCACTAAGCAGTTATGCCACCAATAAAGAGCAATCTGAAAATGAGAGGTTATATCAAAAGGTTTCCCTAGTGAACTCCCTGATATAATATGAACTCCATATATGATATTATTATTACTTTAGACCCAACTGCTTAATTCATACTAGGGCAAAATCCTCAGATAACACTATTCCTTAGCATGACAGGAATGTAGTAGGTGTCTTTTTACAAGTCTGAGGAATAGCTGAGAATGACTTAAAAGTCCATTGCAGTGTTTTCTTCAGTTTTCCAAGGAGAAACCTAGCACTTCTTGCTATGCAGTAGACTATTTTAGTAGATCTGCATGTGGACACATGGAGCATTTTAAATAATTTCCTTGCTGTATTAACTATTATCCAGTTTTGGCTCTACTCTGTATCTTCTTCAACACAAAAAAAATGATACTAAAATAGATTTTGAAATCTCCTATCACACAATAACAACTTCTATCATCTCCTTGAATACAAGCCATCCAACCACACTGTACAAACATTGCAGAGTGATGTGTTCATTTACCAGGATATCTCATATTTAGCAGAAGGTGCATAAGATCCCCAAGACTAGAAAGAATCAAACATTTTAAATGCTTGGTGTTTGGTGAAAAATGCTGTTTGGTTTTGTGGGTTTTTAAAAAAGAATGGATGCATGTCCCAGTGAATTAGAGACACTTCAACACAGTTTCAACTTCTAAAAAAATCTTACAGCAGTCATATAAATCCATCCACAGAACCTCACAGGTAACAGGTGATTAGTACCATGCAGCATGGACTTAGTAAGAACAAATGGTGTCACATCATACTTCCATCAAGAAGTAGGTAACTAGTTTTACAGATAGGTAAGTACTATGTATTTTGGTTAAACCTTGCTTGTCTCTCATAAACGGAGCAGAAGGGAGAAATAAAGTCTAGCTAAAACTGCTGTCGTATAGGTGCTGAACTGATTAGCAGATTTAAAAAAAAGTTCTCGATGGTTCACTGTTGTACTACCTCGTATACTGAGAGGGTTTCCTCAAAAGTCTTCCCCAGGTCTGTTATTATTCAGGGTTTTTCAAATTATCTTGTCTAGTGGATTAGAGAAATCATTTATTAACTGTGAAAAGGATACTAAAGAGGTAAGTGCTGCAAGCATTCTGGAGACTTACAATTTCAGAATAACCTTAGCAAGTTAAGAAGTACCCAGGAAAAAAAAAAAAAAAAAAAAAAAAAGGATAAAATTCAATACAGACAAATGAAAAGCACTAGCCTTAGGAGGGAATAATCAACAACGTAGAGCAGAGCACACAATAAGGAATGCCTGCCTGGCAGCAGTGCTGGAGAAAAGAATAACAGAACCAGGGGCTACAGAGAATCTCTCAGTATAAATCAGTGCTGTTTTCTCATGCAATTCCCTGTGCCTCAGAAATATAGATACACTTCAAATATACATAGTTATTTACATAGATATATCTACAAAGAAGAAAGTCACGTGATCACAGAGAAGACAAATTAAATAGCCTTTCCACACTATGGAAGATGGTGAAATTTAGGCTGTCTGACATCCTTGCTCTTCTGTCTTCAAGTAAGATCTGAGCTAATTAGAGAGAGATCAGCAAAGTGCAATTTAATCAGAAACTTAAAACAAATTGCCTTTAAGGAAAAAGTGAAAGGACTGGTGTTCAGTCTAATAAAAAGATATGACAGATGCATAGCAGTCTTCAAATACATATGTTTGCTGCAAAGAGAAAAAAATAAACTGTTCTGCATATCCACTGGGGATAAAAAAAGAAGCAATAGGCTTAAATTGCAGAAAGTGAGATTTGGGTTAGACATTAGGAAACACTTCATTACAGTGAGGAGCAGGAGTACTATCACAGATGGCCTGAGGAGCTCCAGGAATCTCCACTGCTGGAGGCCTTTGTACACAGGATAGAGATTTACCCCTCAATGGTGGGTTAGAGCTGCTCTTGCCTAGAGGCAGAGGAATGGACCAGCTGACCTCTTCATCTCCCGTCCACCACTATTCTGGGGAAGGTTTTTTCTTTTCTCTCTCTCTCTCTCTTTTTTTTTTTTTTTTTTTTTTTTTTTTGGCAACCTCACCCAAGAGGAAGGAAATTGTACCCAGCAATTAAAGCAGCAAAAGTCTATTCTTTCTATGCCACTAAGCATACTGTTAATAAATCCAATTATGTGTACAATCTTTTAATAGCAGCACTTCTGTCTTAAATATCCATCCTTGAAAATACAAATAAATATCTCTGCCCTACAGCGTTATACAACAGCCTGAAAGCAAACTTTTACAAAATTCCAACTCGCTGTTACATGGCTCCTACTACAATAATCTCAAAGCTAACTACAACATAAAGAACACCAAACCCAGATGTTTTTCTTACTCAATCTTTTCAGTTAACATCTCGTGTTCTGTAAAAAAGCCCATTCCCTTCCTTGTTTACTGCTGGGAGTAGGAAAAGAAGGAAATTCTGATCACATGGTACCACATTTATGGAGAGGTTACCAGTCAAACATGCATTAAAAACAAAAGAAGAAGTTAAGAGCTCTCATTGAGCATGCTTCTCTCAGATTCTTTCCACCAACCTTTAGGTACCCAGCTGAAACACTTACACTGGCTGCAGTGGTCTCAGACAATCACCATCAGTGGAGAGAAATAATGGTCTCCACCTCATTACTCAATATATAGCCCAGTTCACATCCAACTCCATCTACCTAATTTGTGTTGCCACTCCAGATGTGCAAATTTCAGGAAGAAAAAAAAAAAAAAAAAAAAAGATGAAAAAGGGATGAAGTTGATACATGAGAGAACAGTCTTCCATAGCAGTGGGAAGGGGGACAAGGACCTACATGTCCCCATCCCCAAAAGAAGGTCTTAGTTGGAGTGTTAGACAGCAAAGACTGGCCCCAGGGTAACCCCAACCTACCTGATCACAGACTTCCTACCTCTCATCCCTCTTCTTATCAGCAGCTCAGGCCCTTTCAGCTCTTCTAGGCCTAAGCCCCAACTCTTTCCTACCCCAAAGCCCCAGACCAAAGCGCTCCTACCTCAAGGGTCTTCCTATACAACCACAGCACTCTTCCTCCTTCTTAAATCAGTTCAGAACCCATTTGATCCAATCAGCCCCTTTGTAGTTTCATCATGCTGCACATTTCTTTCTCCCCATAGCTCTTTGCACTGTGCCCTACCTCCAAAACTCAAACCTCCCAGCCATGCAGTAGCCAGCAGCAGGTACATCCACCTCCTGCCAGCTCTGGAACTGTAGCACTCACCTCTGTGTCCCCAGCCACCCTGCCAGGGCTTTCTGCTCTTGCCCTACCCTGTTTACTCACAAGGGTATTCCTTCAAAATACAATTTAAAACAAACAAACCCAAAACCAAACCAGGTTTGTTCCTGGTGTGATATTCAAATAAATAAAGTGATATTGTAAGAAGTCTAGCTGAAAAGTGCTTCAGGGAAAGAAAACACACATTCAAACTTTAAGAACATCTTCTGTACAGATGGCAGGATTTTGCCCCCTCTCACAATGTATCCAAATATCTTCTCTGCTGCTTCTCTTCACACCCTATCTGACCATTCCGGAGATATTCCTGTACTGCAATGTTTTTTCTTTTTATTAACTCATACAGAAATGTCGTCCAGAATGTGCTTCTTATAAAAAAAACACCACTCTAATAGATACTGTTACACCAAAAGGATCCTTTATATACCACTAGAGTAAAGTTACAGAGTAATTTTAAAGCACAGCTTCTCTCCTGCAGATTTTATGGCTCTTAGGCTGATAAATGACTAACAATTCTAGTCCTGAGATACTACTAGACATGTTAGTCAATAAATACCTAGGCAAATATAGCAACATACACACAATAAACATGCCATATTTTAAAAAAAAAGAAATAAGTTTTTATACCTTAAAAAAAACACAACAAAAAAAAAACGACAAAAAAAACCATAAAAATTGAAAAGGAATAATTACTTATATCTTGGTATTGCAACTTGTGAATCTATATGTGTCAAAGAATATTTTCTTCCTTCAGTAGCACAGGCCAAGACTTCACAAAAATAGAAAAATTAATTTAGGTTTTGCTTGGGAAACTTTTCCCATAGGTTTCTCATTTTTATATAGGAAATCAATTTGCATCACTGATGATATCATTCAAATCAGACAGCACTATGTGGTTAGAAGGTAATTTACTTTTCTGCCGAAGCAATTTGATACTTGTTCTGATTTGTGATTTTCATTTTGTTTGTTAATGAAAAAAATTAATGAGCAATGTTACTGGAAACAGAACTCAAAGCTTTGGCATTATTAAATATGTTTGTAATATACTTTACATTATGTTGATTGCACAGTCGGAGCCAAAGACTTGGCAGCCAAGCCACCAGTCAATCATTCAAACAGACAATGAACTCACAGGGTGGACATTTTGCACGTACCTTTGCACTGATTTGTGTTTTTGTCAAGAATTGCCTTTGTGGATACAATTTTCCCATACCTATGGAGAAATCAAAAAATAGAAATACATTTTATTATATTTTAATAATGAACATAGCTATTATTGCACTCATGTAATACATATTCTAGTGTGCTTGAAAAATGTTTGGTTTATACTCTTGGAGAGATTCCTTCTGCTGCTGCAGCTCAACAAACACCTTTAGAATTCACATAAAAAGCACTGGTCATTTGCCACAACCTCTCTAGCTGTGGTCATTGTACTGCCAGCATAAATGCTGATTATAATAAAGACTTCAGGATATCAGCACTAGTAAAGGCATTTCTTTGGTTAAATTAATTAGGTTTGCTTAATTTATTTTTTTTTTCTTCATTTTTATCTGGCAAAAATGATTTGTTTTAATCCAGATGGACTAGATTCCTCCAGGATTAACAAAAATGCAGGAATTTTTTGGTAAATTTTTCATGCAAACATGCACAATTGTGAGCACAATTGTGAGCACAGTTGTGCCATGCCTGTGAATATACACTCTAAAACCTCTGGTTTGGATAAACACAATCTTTGATGTTAACGTGCACCTCCCAGCTCTTCCCAAGATGAATGTCAATACTGCTCTGAGTATTGCCTCCCGTAGATAGTATGGCACTGCACTGCAATTTGATAGACTTAGCATGATGAAGGGGGAATTCAGGCAGCTGCAACTTGTTGCATTAAGCAACTAGACCGTAACATAGTTATCTTTCTTTACCTCTCAGAGGTTAAGAGTCAAACAGAGACTTAATAGTATCACAAAACCCTGGTAAAAGATCACAGAAGATGGCATTCATGGCCAAATGTAACATTTCAGGAGAATAAGGAAAACATTTTAATTTCTCAGGTCACCAATACACCTTGGTCTCTGCTTCACTGAAGAGAAGTTCCTCTAAAACGTCCTTTCCTATATATATATATATTTAAAAAACAAGCATTACCGGCATTCTGACAAAAGCTTTCATTTTGCCCTGGTTTGGGAGCAGCAGGACACCCAACCAGCAGGACACCCAGCAGGACCCCCACCCACCCAGCAGGACCCCCCTTCCCTGCGGTTGCACTGACCCCCAGGGCCCCCGGCCGCTCTGCCTGTGGGGAGGAGAGGCTGGGTCAGGTGACCCACATGGACACAGAGCTCCTGCCCAGGGTGCTCAGGATAAAATGGCTCCTCAGAGAAATCCCTGCCTGGGTGGGGTTTTTCTGCCTGCCTGTCATCTCTCCCTGTGCTCTGGTGGTGTTCCTGCATCCTGTTATCTCAATGGAGAAGCACATCATTCACCAGGACAGCTCACCTTCTCCTGCTTCCCTAAGTGGGACCGGCTCAGATGATCCAAAGCTTTTGTGGGCTGTCACTGGGACATCCCTATCTGCTGCTGAGTCCAGTTTGGGACTTTGCTGGCCAGGAAGTAATTGTGAACTGAGTGTGGGTTCCATATTTACATATTTGTATGTAATTCACCATTGTAATTTTTAGTATTTATTATTTCATTAAACCTAATCTAGTTGTTGGTTTTTTTTTTCCCAACCTTCAAGTCTCTCTCCCTTATTCCTCTTTTTATGTTTCCCTGGGAGGGTAGGGGGAGGACAGCAGAGAGATAGCATCTGTCACTTGTTTATTGGCTAAAACCATGACACATTAGGAAGCCTCTCCACAGAACACAACTTTTACAATCAATGAATGATGTATTACAAGAAAAGATTATAATAAAATTTTATCTTCAAAGGGCAAAGCAACACCAATGGAAAATAACCAACAGTTCATCAATTATAAACCACCAAAATGTATGGCAGACCAATTTTTACTCAGTTGATTCTTATTAACAGTAATATAAATTTGCTGTTAGTGAATTCTACTTCAGAAATCAAGATGTGGAAGACCTTGCTGCAATTCTCTTCTCTGCCTCAGAGGAAACCTTTATCTTCTGCTATACAGAAGAGGCGTATAACGTCAGACAGGGCACATTACCACATATTCAAGGCCATACTCTTCTCTGTCCTACCAGTCTGTGAACATACTCAGTAAACCATAAAATAAAATAAATAAATAACACACACACCAAAAAAAAGACAGCCAAAGAGGGAATGGTACCATCACTCAGAGGGGAAAATGGACCTTTGCGTTTCAGTTTCTGACTGAAAACAGCAAACACTTAAATATCTCATGAAGGAGGAGCAGCACCAATGGGAAAGCAAAGAACAGCCGCCCAAACATACGCTTCGAAACCAGCAAAGAAGATCTGAGGCAATTTTGTGCCTCACAAAATCCTCAGATCAAGTTCCCACACACTGTGTGAAATGTAACAACTCAGCTTCAGATAAAGGCTACTGTCTCTCCAGCTCTACTCTGTCTTTGTGACTGATTCAAAGCAAGACTTTCCATTCCACTGTTTTTCCTTTCCCTAAGAACCCACAAAAGCATTTGTTTCCATTTTACTTTCATTTTGGGGAGGAAAAATATGCTTTGCTTTGGTTTTATTTCAGACTGAAACCAGTTAGGAGGAAGGCAAACCAACCCAAAAGCATGAACAGTTTGTGCAATCTAAGTTAAGTCCAAATGTACCCATCTTTTAGAGACCATAAAAATTGTACAAGCCTTCTGCCTCTCCACACACATCCCTTTATTGCTGGCTCTGTAGACAGGCAAGATTTTGTGCTCTGAATGCAGGTATAATCCACTCTACAGTCGACCATGATGTGTCCATGGGCATGTAGTTGTGGGTCTATTTTGCCATAGCTGGCTCCACTCCAAACACATACATAACAGATTTAATGTTAACCATGAGAGCACAGCATTTCTAACCTCAGGTGTTTCCAGAATCAGGGCCTTTATACCTACTTATGTTCCACTTAATTTTACAATTCTTTATGGTAATACCTGAAGTTGACTTTGGCCTCGAAGACACTAGAGCACTTATCTTAAGAAAGCAAATTCTCTGCCAGCGTGATTTATGGCTTTCAGTGGGCCAACTTACCCAGCAGGAAATTTGGCCCGTGCAGTGCATCTTCATTTATTTAATTTATTTAGATTTAAAATGAAATACATGAAGAACATGCAAACACGTGCCTGTCTCATATAGTAAAGGGCCTCTGACGGATATATGGAAAAATAATTCAACAGAACTCAGTGGCTAACCCACAACAACCTCAAATAAAACACAACCGCTACCTAAACTTCCGCCAACAAAAACTAACACCCAGCCTCCATTTCAGTCCAGCCACTCCTAATGAATTGATATGTTGTTTCATCCAAGTCATGTGAGAGCTAAAAGTTAACATTTCCTGCCAGCAGAGACAGGCATTTGTGGTTCCACTGATTTCATAACAGATTTCCCAGAGTTTTTTGCTACAAACTGTGATCCTGCAAACACTTAGTTACACTAGAGATTTTACTCACAGAAATAATTCTGTTCAGCTCAGAAGCGGTTTTGTCCCACACGTAAAGTTATGTGCACCTTCACATTTGCAGAAACAGACAGCAGAGTGGTAAGAGGACCACAATAACAAACACTGTTATAGGCAATTAGCCATATGCAGGCAATTTAATCCACAGCTATAAACCTTGAGCGCTATCACAAGAAAGTAATTGGAATTAATTTGGACACTGTTTTCCTAAATCTTTCAAGTAATTATATTACAGTAATCAGAACATCAGTTCTGATGAAGAACCATAGTTTGCATGCTGCATGAAATCAGGAAGATATTTTATTCCTATATATATAGTCATAGTTCTTTCTTGCATGTGTGAAGAGTGGTATTATGTCTCCTCTCCAGTTGTTTAGCTTTCTGTTTGTGTAAACTTTAATCGTGATTGGATTGACCCAGAAGTACCAAAAATGTATTCTTCAATGGGAATGCCCACAGAAATAAGGATAAAATGTATCACAAGAGCTGGCCTCTTGCTTCCTTGTATTTAAATTGAAACTACTATCAAATTCAACAGCCTGCACACCTGTTATACAAGGTACTCATACCATGAATGAAAAAAACATATCAGGTATAGTTTGTTGTGAGAAAACATGAGCACTGTTGAATTCCTCCTGAATTTACAATGCATGGAGATACTCTTTCAAAGACTTTGAATAAAAAATTCTGCTCAGAAAAAGATTTGTGGAATTGAGTTCATCTCAATGGCATATTACCAACCCTTCAACGTGACGACTGTATCACTAAGGCTAACCTACTGCATCACGATGTTCAAGGGAACAGATGTAATTAATCTGTTAGATGGCTACTTCAAGAACATGTCTACTGAACATCTGAACTGAAATCACTATTCAGAAGATTTCCAGACATACAAAATGTTGGTTTTCATTACACTCTTCCTGAAGCGTTATCTAAAAACAGAGTAAGCACAAATAATGTTTAAGTGTTTTTTAAAAATACTTTTAATTGCTCATATTCAAATATGCTTTTAATGTTTTTCCATGTAGTAATTTTCATTTCAAACCAAGTGGTCAGGTATTTGAAAGAGCTTCCATTACAGGAGCAACCAAACAGACTAGGACTTCAGCTTATTATAGAAGGACCCATGCAGTGAGATGGTGACTAGTTGTCCTCATTGTTTCTCATAATGCATAAGGACTGCCAAGAAGGTGCAGAAGGTGGTTCTTCCCCAGAACTGAGAGTAACTTGTCGAACTCATTGCAACAGCCCACGCTGATGCCCCACAGAGCACAACAAAACCACAAAAATTACAATAAACTATCAGACAGCTTCTAGGCTGGAAATCTGTCATAAAATTAAAAGCAAAGGCACAGTTGTGGCCATGGCAGTTACATACTGCCAGAAGCGGGGAGAGGACAGCAGAGTAGTACCATTGCATGTTATCTCTGTTTTAATGTCAGGCAACTCCATGGCTGCTAAAACTAATTCCTGTCTCACCTAGCCCAGTCTTTCTTACATTCCATGGGGCTGGAAATACCTTCTTACAAACATAAACATTTTTACCTTCTCTTGTATATATCGTTTTGCATGGAAACTCTTTAAGTCATCTGATACTCACTATTATAACT